TTTCGGTCCTCTCCTTCATCGTTCTTCATTTTTACCTTCTTTTTTTCTTTTTTACCGTGTCACGTCCACGGTGGATTATACTCATCTTCAAGACTTACGATAAACTTTAGGTTATACACACTACCATTCATAAGCATTAGGATACCAATTATGTTCATATAGAAAGTATTGTATGATTTAAGTTACATTTCTTCGCCCAAAGTTAGTATCACACATCGGTAAAAATATATACTGCGTTATACTACGAAATTCTGGACTGAATAATTTTGTATAGAATCTTAATAATTTTGTAATATCTGTTTAAGTTTACTTCACATTAAGTGAGTGTACTAATACTTTTGAACGAGAGTGTACATATTACAGGACTGTGATTGGTTTGTATTTATACTTAATACATACATAGGTACTGTTACTCACTTCTTCCTGCATTGAGTCAGATTTAGGTTATGTCATCATTGAAACAGAATTAACACGTTTAATCGGTATTGAGTTACACTCAACGTGTGTCAATATCTCAGTGATTTATTTCAACTTACTTTACACATTGAATTGCACTTGATTGTTAGATTGTATCTAACCTAACTTAATATATCTATACTAACTTAGTTTCTATTAAATCATACCTAACACACAATATTCTAAAAAATATAGACCTATTACGAATTATTCAATCTCATCTGTGTATTTTATTTCGATATTAAATGAATGCATAAGTTAAAATGAATATATGTAATAACTTAAAATTAATCAGATTGCGGTTGATTAATAGATCGAAAGACAATGGACTCACGCAAAATATAAAATATAACACATAATACAAAACGTATTAAATATTATTCAATCTTACTTGTTTATTCTATTTCGATGTAAAATCAAAGTGTATTTAATATACGACAAATTCGAATTAATACATTGAAAAAAAAAAATTATTACCCTATGTTCGATTGACAGATTAGAAAAAGAATAGACTCACTCAATTTTCCCGTTTCCCACTTCTGTCACGTGCTTGTTCCAACACAAAACCAACATTCGAATAAAGGAACTGGAACTCGAATGGATCAGAAATGTATAATCGATCGTAGAAGTTTTGCAATGAAAACAATAGATATATACGAAAACTCGGTGCACACGACCGATTTTTCGTACTCATTGGATCTCTTTATTCGAGAGATAAAGGTTCCACTAGACAGTATTAACAAACAATAATTTTACCTAATAATTCATACATTGTACTAATTTAATTAATAACTAACCTACATTTCGATAAATTTTGTTGAAGGAATAAGCTATTCAAACAAAAAGATGTTGTTCTTACCTTTTCGCCTTTTTGAATCTGCCTTTCTCCTGTCAGCCAGAAAATAGCCAATTTTCTAATTAATTGCACTTAATCCATCTAATTTTTTCAAATTAACTGCACTTGACAAGAACAAAGACTAATCTGTACGAATTTACAAAGTTTCACAACCTTTCGAGCCGTAATTTATATATCAAACGACACACGCGTGATTTTTGAAGTAACTGTTACTAAAAAGACGTCACGACTAAACACTTAATTAAAATTACTTGAAAATTAATTACATCCTTCGCACTTCGAAATATTCATTTTCAAAGAGAAATCAGAAAGTATTTTCACTGAAAGTTGCGACTATGCTAATCGATGATCGATCTTAATGGCGAATACCAGTAATGTATACGATAAAGAAAATTAATAAATAACAATTAGGAAGTTAATGGATAATCATAGTGTTTAAGAAACGATCTTTAGGAGTAAATGCACTAACCTCGCGAAACACTTTAAGCAGTTTCTTGAACCACGCATTACTGCGCTTGAAAAGGTCGACACTCGATGCATTATGCATTCGATTTAGCATAAATTTATTCGCGAATAACCGCCTACCTTTTCACGACCTCCGAATAAATGAGATAATGTTCGAAATAATTGACGTGAATAGTACAATTTATGTTCCTTCCGCGAAATGACATTACCCTTCCTCTATTTTAACGTCACATTCGATTTTCGGTAACAATCGATCGATAACTCATATCGGATGATTGTATTAAAAGTTTACTTTCTTAATTAAAAAACTAAATTATCGTAAAATAACAATTATTCGGAATTAATTTTCTAAAACCTTATTACTAGCACAGACAAGGTACAGGATAGACTTAACACCTAATGTATTTTTGTGTCCAACGTTCTTAAATACCGATCGTGTAAAAACTCAGAGAATTTGTTATGCCCTCTACGATATAAAGCGGTGAGTTTAGGAATTATATACATCAAAGATGGTAAAGTCCGACAGTTGTAAAAATTCTCTTTTGGTAAGTCTCCATGTAAAGATATATACATAGAATTGTTCAAGATCTTTTGCTAGTAGTAGAACACGTGTATGTAGTGACTAATAAATAATTCGGTCACTTTCTTATTTGTAATTTTATAGTTACGTTTAATTCTAATTCCAACCACTACTAATGTAATTTTATTTATGTTGAATCGGTAACGTCGAGAGCGACACGGAAATGGTAAGGGTCTTTTCGGCCCCAATGCCGCGGACACAAAGTCTCATAAGATGTTAAATCTATCCTGTACGACGTCTGTGTTACTAGATACTTCATAAATTCATTTTACTGATCTGTCTTTCGGTAACTTATCGCAGTCGATACAAAGTTTTGCTGATATTTCTTTCTTACTGATAATAAACGATTACAAAAATAAAAATCGAATTTTTTATAGAAAAACCTATAAGATTATGGAAACTCTACATATTTACTTTGAACTTAATGTTTTTAATCTTTAATTATCAACACCTGTTAAAGTCGTTAAAGTCATCATAGTTCGATGACATAGTTCGATATGCTACCACTGCATTATTTTCAGTAAACTTCGTGTTCCACAACGAAAGTTTATGTACAAGTGTCTTACATTTTCTAAACAATGAGACGTATTAAACATTGTATTACTGTTTACTGTTTCAGAAGGTGAAAAAATGAATTATCTGTGATAATAAAGAATACCTGTGATAATATAATGCTTCATCGCCACATTGTTAACAGCACATTGTAATTTTTTAGGTTATAAATGTTTTTCTACGAAAATCTTATGAAATGTTATTAATTAATATTTAATCGAAGCTAGTTTATCAACGGTAAATAATACTGCAAGAGTTTCTTTCATCTTTAATCTTTGAAGTGAAAACGTAAAAATGGACGAGGTTGCGAAGCTTGAGCATTTATCGCTTGTTTCAAAAATTTGTACGGAATTGGAAAATCACTTGGGACTGAACGACAAAGATTTGGGTAAATAATATTTATATTTTACATAATACAAAGAATGAGCAGTTTTCTGATGTAACCTACTTATAATTTTTTTCATATTTGTCTAGTAATATTAATTATCGTTCTTTTGTTAACGAATTTTCGATAATGTGTTCATTTTCCTTGCAGCTGAATTTATAATCCACTTAGCAGAAAAGAATAATACCTGTGACAAATTTAAAAAAGTTTTAATTGAGAATGGAGCAGAATTTTCTGTAAGTGTAATTTCTAAAGATTGAAATCTATAAGATTTTTTTATTTCACTGCACAGTAACATTTATTTGTTCATTTAGGAATCTTTTATGGCCAATTTATTGAGAATAATACAACACATGAAACCATCCAAACCACAGGAGAAAACATCAAAGCTCTCCAGTAAGCAAGATGAGCTGGCACAGAAATTTCCTGCTTTGGCTTTGCCAAATGAAGAGCCAAAGATAGTGGATAACAAGGATCTCAAAGATGATGACATAGTCAGTAGTGCCATGGCAAGCCTGGAGGAACTAGCACCATCAAAGAAGTCCACTAAAGAGGACAATAAAAAGGACAGTCAATTATTGGACAGTAACGATAATAAAAAGAGCAGACACTCCAGAAGAAGCAGATCAAAGGAGAGAAGAAGACACAGATCGCGTTCGTCAAATCGTAAAGACAGAAGACACAGATCGAGGTCCTGTTCTAGATCACGGGATCGTTCGAGATCCAGAGATAGAAGACGTCATAGATCCCGAGATCGCAAAAGATCTAGATCACGAGATAGGAAGTCTCACAGGGACAAGTATTCCGGTAGATCTGATCGATCCAGATCGCGGTCAGTAGAGGAACTTTCCATGGACCCAGAAGTAGGCAAGATTTATTCAGGAAAAGTAGCCAATATTGTACCATTCGGTTGTTTCGTTCAACTGGAGGGTTTGAAACGAAGATGGGAAGGACTTGTCCATATTTCACAATTAAGGAGGGAGGGAAGAGTGGCTAGTGCAAGTGATGTGGTGTCCAGGGGCCAGAAGGTGCTCGTGAAAGTTCTTAATATTGGTGGACAAAAGGTATGCAAATTTACGAAATAAGATAAAAATAGTATACTTTAATTTATTCAGAATTGCACTTATTTGGATGAAATTTGAACAGGTTTCTTTAAGCATGAAAGATGTCGATCAGGAAACTGGTAGAGATATGAATCCTGTTGTGGCAGTAACTAAAACTGAAGAAGATGAAAAACATTTGCGGAATCCAGACAGGCCTACTTCATTGTTGGAGCTTCAGGGCAATTGGGATGAAGATGAAACTTATTCCAGGAAGCGTGTGCAAAGGCTATCTTCTCCAGAAAAATGGGAGATAAAACAGATGCTTGCTGCTTCGTGTATTGATAGGTACTATTGAAAATACAAAAACTACAATGCTTTAAATTCTACAATATTTGTTTTTCTTACCCTAGGAGTGAATTGCCAGAATTCGATATGGAAACAGGAATTCTCCCACGAGAGGATGATGAAGAAGAGGACGTTGAAATAGAATTAGTAGAAGAAGAGCCGCCATTTTTACATGGCCATGGAAGAGCTCTTGGAGACTTGAGTCCAGTTCGTATAGTAAAAAATCCTGATGGCTCTTTGGCACAGGCTGCAATGATGCAGAGCGCTCTTGCGAAGGAAAGAAGAGAGCAAAAAATGTTGCAGAGGGAACAAGAAATGGATTCTGTTCCTACAGGCCTTAACAAGAACTGGATTGACCCTCTACCAGAAGGTATATTCTTCGTGCACATTTTTATGAATTTGTTCATGTAAAATAGTAATTGTTATTTTCATAAATTATGCAGCTGAAAGTAGAACTTTGGCTGCGAACATGCGTGGAATCGGCCTCCAGACTCAAGATCTGCCTGAATGGAAGAAACACGTGATAGGTGGAAAGAAATCCTCGTTTGGAAAGAAGACGAACCTTACTCTTCTCGAGCAACGTCAGAGTTTGCCCATTTACAAGCTCAGAGATGATTTGGTCAAAGCTGTGACGGATAATCAAATCCTAATTGTGATTGGTGAAACTGGATCAGGGAAAACCACGCAAATCACGCAATACTTGGCTGAAGCAGGATTCACAGCCCGTGGAAAGATTGGTTGCACTCAACCGAGAAGAGTAGCCGCCATGTCCGTAGCCAAGAGAGTGGCAGAGGAATTTGGTTGTCGTTTAGGCCAGGAAGTAGGCTACACAATCCGTTTCGAAGACTGTACTGGACCGGAAACAAACATAAAGTACATAATTAGTTTTACAATTGCATGAATGTCGAACATTGATACTAATGTTTAATTTTGCAGGTACATGACCGATGGTATGTTGCTTCGAGAGTGTCTTATGGACCTTGATTTAAAAACGTATTCCGTGATCATGTTGGACGAGGCACATGAGCGTACCATTCACACGGATGTTCTGTTTGGATTACTTAAGCAAGCCGTAGGAAGAAGACCAGACCTAAAATTGATCGTCACAAGTGCTACACTGGATGCTGTGAAGTTTTCACAGTACTTCTTCGAAGCACCCATCTTCACCATCCCTGGTAGAACATTTGAAGTGGAAGTAAGTGAACTTCAAGATGCCTTTGAAGTAGTGTTGCTGATTGAAATTATTCTGTGCAGGTCATGTATACGAAAGAGCCAGAAACAGACTATTTGGATGCTGCTCTGATAACAGTGATGCAGATACATTTGAGGGAACCTCCTGGAGATATACTTCTATTTTTGACCGGTCAAGAAGAGATTGACACAGCTTGTGAAATTTTATACGAACGCATGAAGTCTCTGGGTCCTGATGTGCCTGAGTTGATCATTTTGCCAGTGTACTCGGCGCTTCCTTCTGAGATGCAAACCAGAATATTCGAGCCAGCTCCCCCAGGCTCGAGGAAGGTGGTGATAGCAACCAACATAGCGGAAACCAGCTTGACTATTGATGGGATTTATTACGTAGTTGATCCAGGCTTCGTGAAACAGAAAGTGTACAATTCTAAGACAGGAATGGATAGTCTTATAGTGACACCAATTAGTCAGGCAGCAGCTAAACAGAGAGCAGGGAGAGCTGGAAGAACAGGTCCAGGGAAATGCTACAGACTTTATACTGAAAGAGCTTACAGAGATGAAATGCTACCTACACCAGTTCCAGAGATCCAACGTACTAATTTGGCAACCACAGTGTTGCAGCTGAAGACTATGGGCATTAATGACTTACTGCACTTTGATTTCATGGACGCCCCACCAGTAGAGTCCTTAATTATGGCCTTGGAATCTCTGCACAGCTTGAGTGCATTAGATAATGAAGGTCTCTTGACCAGATTAGGTAGGAGGATGGCGGAATTCCCTCTGGAACCTAACCTTTCAAAAATGCTTATCATGAGCGTACATCTTCAATGTTCTGACGAAATACTGACCATTGTCAGCATGCTATCCGTTCAAAATGTCTTCTACAGACCAAAAGACAAGCAGGCTTTGGCAGATCAAAAGAAAGCAAAGTTCAATCAACCAGAAGGGGATCATTTAACTTTATTAGCTGTTTATAACTCTTGGAGGAACAACAAATTCAGTAATGCTTGGTGCTATGAAAATTTTGTGCAAATCAGAACTTTGAAGCGTGCTCAGGATGTACGTAAACAATTGTTGGGTATAATGGACAGACACAAATTGGATGTCGTGTCTGCTGGGAAAAATACGGTGAGAATTCAGAAAGCAGTTTGTTCAGGTTTCTTCAGGAATGCTGCAAAGAAAGACCCTCAGGAAGGATATCGGACCTTGGTAGACAGCCAAGTTGTCTACATTCACCCAAGTAGTGCATTGTTCAACAGACAACCGGAATGGGTAAGTCAATTGATGTTAGAGACGCAACTGAGAAAAAATATACGAATAACTTTTTCCCTTCGTCCCTTACAGGTTATCTATCACGAGTTAGTGCAAACTACAAAGGAATACATGAGAGAGGTGACAACCATCGACCCAAAATGGCTGGTGGAATTCGCGCCGGCATTCTTCAAGTTCAGTGACCCAACTAAGTTAAGCAAATTTAAGAAGAATCAAAGATTAGAGCCACTTTATAATAAATATGAAGAACCGAACGCTTGGCGAATATCAAGGGTTCGAAGGAGACGTAATTAAGACGTTTATTGCACAATATGTAAATAGTTTTTGTACAGAGTTGCTATTTAAAAACTAACGCGAATAAATATAGTTCGAATATTTTTTTGTTTCTTTTCATTTCACTTCTTTGTGTGTATGATACAAAATTAAATTATAATTATGCACACTTTAAAAATACCTTAATATTTTTCAGAATTATAAAATACACTTAGCGTTGAAATTATAAGGTATTCTGTTACTCGTAACATTTATGACTTATATAGAATAATACAGAATAATTCATGGGCAGTTGTCGTGTCCATTCCAAGTTTATAGACTTTCAAATATTTACATCGACAATGCAAGAACCAGGGCCCACTGTTTTATTCAAAAGTATTACTTTTCTAATTAGACTTCTAAAAATATGTAAGACGGAATTTTTCCAGGTCTAATATCGATTACTCCGATACATGTAATTCTATAAATACTTGTATCATTTATATATGAGAATTATATCGATAATAATACAGCAAAATGTTGCGTATGTGTGTTATATGCTTTGGTATGGTATTATATTTCGAAACTAAAGTGATAAAAATCCGAGCAAAGTAGTATCAGTCTCAGAAAACAGGAAAGTATTTAATTATCATACCGTTGTCAGTCTTTTCCTCTTAATTAATTATTAAATTTATTAAATAAATACATTT